TGATTTGCAGCTCTTATTGGTCGTAGCTCCACAGCCAAAAAACTTATGATTTGATTTATCGAACGAGCAGTGTGTATCTAGTGCCCTCTACGAGCAATAACAAAACAAGTTTCAAATTCGTATTTCTCATGCTTGAAAACATAAAACTACCAAATTTTATGTTAATAGTACAAAAAGCTTCAAAATTATCGAGAAATTTCGAAATAAGAATTTAACTTTCAACACCCTGTGCCTCGAAAACCACTGACATTTGTATAAAAGATGTTAGGTTAAATCATCATATTTTGGTGCTTAGTATCTCCGGTATTCGGATTTCCCATTCTTTCTGACTCACCCTGTATAAAAAATATAAACAATAATAATAAGTTTATTGCTACCATGATTTACAATAATAATAGAAAAATATACATTAATTTATAATCGTTCAATCAGGCGTCTCGTATGCCGAAAAAGCGAGTGGTCAAACTGCAGAGAAAGCTGTAGCATCAGTCGATAAGAATAATACTAAGAAAAAATACTTCAATAAGAAGAAACAATAAAAACATTATATGCACGTCTAGATTTCATTGAAAGCAATTTAAACCAAGGAGCGATTTGAAAAAGAAATCAAAATGTCTAAAAACCAGCAACTAAAAATAATGCTGTGGAATTCCAAGACACACTACTAATAATACTTAAAGAAAACAATATTGAGATATGTCTTATCTCCGAAACTCACTTTACACGATAATCGTATATAAACATCAACCATTACAATATTTATCACACAATTCACCCGAATAATGCGGCTCGAGGTGGAAGTGCAATTATTATAAAAAGGAATGTTGACCACTATTTGAACAATACAATTAGTACTGAACAACACCAAACTACAGTGGTAAAAGTTCAAACTGCTAATGGCTTTATATCTCTAGGACCAACGTACAACCACCGAGACATAATCTCAAAAGAGAAGATTATCAGGAAATTCTACTACATCTCGACAACAAATTTATACTTGGAAGAAACTTTAATGCAAAACATATGTCTTGGGGTTCTCGCTGGACAAATACAGGAAGAGAACTGAACCATGCAATAGAGGCCCTAAATTGTGAGGTGCTGTCCACTGGGAAGCCAACTTACTGGCCAACAGATAGAAGTAAAATTCCGGACCTGCTTGATTTTTTTATTATGAAAAATATATCGCTTTACTTCGTAAACGTAGAAGGGGAGTTAGGGGTTAAATTTGACCTGTTGTCCCTGCAGGTACAGACAAATATTTAAACTTAACATCCGATGGAGTTACTTCACTAATAATTTCAGGGCAGTGGCCACTCCAAGAATCCAGTAATAGTAATGATTTGGGTCCGGTGTTTTTGAAATAGACATTTTGTAGCCAATTTTTCATATGAGCAGAAGTCAGTTCACCAGACTTTGATGCCAAAACGAGTATGTTATCTGCTTTGAACATTGTATTTATTACCCTCGGTCCAAACGTACCAGAAGATTCTTTTAAAACAATGAAAAGAGGAGAGAGTAGCTTTCCATTTGCAGATATGATGGGTTGAATTGTGTAGCTATGTGTTGTCGATGACACCGACTGGACCACGCTTTCCACGATTTTAACCCCTAAATCCGATTTGTTTTTGTGACAGAAATTTTGTTATTTTTCTGCTCACCACTGCGACTAACCGCACACTATACAGCCTATTTCAGAGTAAGCGCCTTATTTTTTTTTTTAGTCACCCTATGGGCACTACTTTCAAAATATTTGGCAGTTATATGTTTTAGGACATTCTCTACACGATGGTGATACCAGATTTTCAATTGGACGAATTATTTCACAATGGCGACTTTCAACTTTTTTTTTAAATGGAATGCCACAATTTTTTTTTATTGTTGAGATCCTAAAAACATACTTTTTACGATAGCATTTCGTTTTTCTTAAAAATTCATGTCTTTCCCCATCAACAAGCAAACTAACATTTTAATCTAGTAGCTCGTGAATGTTTTACTCGATGTTATTTTTGTCCAAATATCAAGTAGCGGTAGACACAAAAGAACAATTGAACTTTAATCTAGTAGTCAAACGTCAACCAATGCTATCTAATCTATTGACTCCATTGAACGTCGTTCAATTTATGTATTGAAAAAGAAGGAAAACATTTCGAGTATTTTTTGTAAATACCTAATTTTTATTTGATGTAAATTTTTAATTTTGAGTTTCAAAAAGTAGATGTTTATTACAAAATAAAGTTTAATTGTTTCTTTTGTGTCAACGGCTACAAAAATAACATTGAGTAAAACATTCATGCGCTCCTAGATTAAAATGTTAGTAGGCTTTTTAATGAGGAAAGACATGAATGTTTAAGAAAAACGAAATACTATCGTAAAAATAATGTTTTTAGGATCTCAACAATAAAAAAAAAATATGGCATTCCATTTAAAAAAAAAGTTGAAAGTCGCCATTTTGGAATAATTCGTCCAATTGAAAATCTGATATCACCATCGTGTAGAGAATGTCCTAAAACATACTACTGCCAAATATTTTGAAAGTAGTACCCATAGTGCGGCTAAAAAAAATAAGGCGTTTACTCTGAAACAGGCTGTATAAGGACAGGGTTATCACTTTACAACATTCAGATTTAACACAACTGATACGAAATAAATTAAAAATTTGTGATACTTAACCATTTTTTTCAGTTGCTTTTTAACTCATTATTAATAAATATTTATATAATTATCCTAACTTTTGTGTTATTTAAATAGAATAAGAATAAAAAAGCTTTTTCTGTAGGAGTATGAAAGTTATTAGTGAAAATATATTTTCTACCCCAAACTTCTAAGCCTTATAAGTACTTACAATAATACTACCTAACGCATAAAAATCGTGATAAATCGCACCAAAATCGACAAACAATTTCCGCAAAAAAAAAAAATTTGAGGTGGTTAGGGTAGTTAACCCCAGCCACCCCTTAATGTCGTATAGGGTTTATTTTACTGCATAAATCTTAATTTACATCTAATTAATGGTTTTTTTCAAAATATTGTTCAAAAGTGTAACAGTTTATCACATTATTCTTAAGGAAAGGGGTTATCTATCATACCCCGTAAATTTGCAGGGGATGGTCAGAGGCAAATAAGAAAAAACACGTCTTTAATATTTTTAAACGTAGTATAAGGATACATAATATCGCCAAAATCGATAGGGTGGTTTTATATTTTTCATTCCATCTTATCTCATGGAAAATTGTAAAAAACCGATTTTTTTAACATAAAGCAGCGTGGGACTAAATGGGTTAAAACGGCTAAACCCAAATGTTTCTAGTCCTGCTGTTAGTTTAGATTTTTAGCTACGGCTTCCTTAGATTTGAAAAACACACTTAACCTAGTCCAATTAATGGGACAATTAGGGATACAAGAAGTTAAAGGATTTTCGAGGTCCGTACAGCTACACCCCCCTTTCAAGATATCAGCATTTTGATACTATTATGTACTATTTATGTACTAATTTTATACTACATTAAAAATTTTTGTATTAATCATTTAGTATTTTTTTTATATATGTCAAAGTGGGGGATGTAGCTGAACGTCCAGTTACACCCCCTCCATATACAACCCCCCTATCAAGATATCAGCATTTTGATAGTGCCATAATTTTGTACTATTTATATGCTAATTTTCTGCTACATTAAAAATTTTTGTGCTAATCATCTAGTACTTTTTTTTATATATATCAAAGTGGGAGGTGTAGCAGGATGGTGCCATCATTTAGTGCTATTTATGTACTAATTTTGTACGACATTAAAAAATTTTGTACTAATCATTTAGTACATTTTTTATGTATATTAATGTGGGGGTGTAGCTGGACCTCCAGTTAGTAGTTTTCAAACATCTGTCATTAAGTGTTCGACACGTCTTGATCAAAAGTTTATTACTTTAACCATTAATACAAAATGAATTTTAAATATCGGCGCTGGAATAATTTGCCATGATGTTCACTGACTTACACTCGCCGTCAAATGTAACTCAAATGACAACAATAATATAAACAAGGACCAAAAACTGTCAAAATTCCACGGCTTTCTTGATAAAAAAATCTGCATGCCGTACATGTTTTGATAAATTTAACAATATGACGAAAACTACGATAAATAGGTATAGGATTGCTTATCAATTACTTGTAGAGAATTAAATTCCCTATCTGATGTTCTAAAAAAATTCCGTTCCATTTAAAATTTTCTATTTTCTCGCCATTGAATGTGGAGAAACAGTAATTCAATTTTTGACCAGCCTGTATAAGATACTCTGATAAAACAAATGACAATCTATTTGACAATATCTGAAGAGTAATCGTGCCAATCTAGAGCTCTTTTGAATGAATGTTGGCTGGTGAAAGGCATGGTGAAATTTGCCAAGAAGAACTAAAAATTAAAATAACTCGAAAACGAAAAACGCTAGGTATCAATAACTTTTATGAAAGTCAACATATTTTTTGACGTACAATAATTAAAAGGTGTAATAAAAGCTATAGTATTCCAATTAAATTAACGAAGTTTAAGTTTACTTCCGGTAGACCGGAAGTGACAGTACCGTTACTTTGCTACCAAAATTTTAAAACTGTACGAATAGTGGAACCTAAAAAAGTTCTAACGAACCAGTTACGTGAAACACCTGTATATACTACATATATAAAAGAAATACTATATATATCCACACTAAATGATTAGTACCAAAAATTTTAATGTACAAAATTAGTACATAAATAGCACTAAATAATGGCACCATCAAAATGTTGATATCTCAAAAGGGGGGTGTAACTGAACGTCCAGCTACACCCCCACTTTGACATATACAAAAAAAATACTAAATGATTAGTACAAAAATTTTTAATGTAGTACAAAATTAGTACATAAATATAGTAGTATCAAAATGCTGATATCTTGAAAGGGGGGTGTAGCTGTACGGACCTGGATTTTCGTTAAAAATGAGAACCCCAGAAAATAATTTGTACGCACAAATACGAAATATTAATAAAATATAATTAAAAAAAGAACTCGTTGCATAACTTAAATGTTATTTGACAGTTATAACCTTAAATAAATGAAAAAGTGTATAATAAATTAATTCATATCCAATTATACAACTTAGAATCATCACAATACTTTAAATTATCATAATTAGCAGTACAGTCTGATTTATCAGAACAAAAAATCTCTAAAATTTCCTTGGGAAATCCACAATCGCCTAAATTTTCTCGTTTAAAAACGGCACTTCCACTTCGATTCATAACATTTTCTCCTTCATTTTTCGTCTCATTACTTTTAAACTTTATTTTACTAAAAGGTTGCGTACTTTTTAAATCTGTGAATGAAGCTGTCACACTCATTTCCGGTCGACAAAAGTGATATAAATTATGAATAAGATGTGGTAAAATCGGTCCTTGTAATTCGATCGAAAAGAACGTTTCGTTATCAACATTCACTTTATTTTCGCGCACTTTTAACGAATTTACCGTGCCTCCGTTGAATGCGACGGGTGATAAAAGCGTTGGAGGAACACCCGCTAAAGAACTAACAGTTGGTACAATACTTTTCGAGTTCATTAGGAAGTTATAAAACGCTGAAACTTCAACGCCTTCAATAAAAATTAAACTTTCTGCGCCATTATCTATTTCGCTTTCGATTTTTCTACGAATTTTTTCTTGTTTGAAATTAATTTTTTTGATATCTTCTTGGCCAATACCCATTTGTTTTAACCATTCTTCGTCGGTTATTTCATCTTCTTCGTTATCATTAACAACTTCTTCTGTGTTAGCATCGAAGGTGTCATTTTCGTGATCTATTTCTTGACTGTTGGTACTTTTTTTTAATGGTGTTTTAAATTCAATATCTTCGTTCCGTAAAACTTGACGAAATCCTCGTGTTGTTGGCGTCACCATAACGTTCATTTCGGCAAATCCACTGATTCCAGCAGCACGAAATAACGCGGTGAAATTATTTGTACATAAATAAAAATACGGACATTGTCTTGTACGTAATAATTGAAGTAACGATTTTAATCCATCAGTAAACGATTGATGTAGACTTTCTTTAATTGCGTTATGTGTTGTTATTGTTGGTGTTGAAGATGATTTTTGGGAAGTTCTTGGAAATAATGATAACCATGGTAAATGGGGTTGTATCCAATATAAACAACATTGATGAAATTTTGAGTTTGGTGAGGTATCTAAAGAAGTCGATGTTGTTTTGGTATCTAAACATCGTACGAACCCGGTCATTGCTGAAGCTTCTTCACTTATCCTTAATTTTTGGCTCCATTGAAACGGTTTTGAAGCGAAAAACCGGACTTTAGTCTTCAAAGTCCAATCCACTGGCAAAAAAGTTTCACCTCGAACAATTTCAACATCACTTTTAGAAGATTCCGATTCATCGAGCTTCAATATATTATTAAAATTAACTTTATTCTCTTTATTATTAACTTGTACGGTTAATGGATTTGAGGTGCAATTTAGTAATTTAAAAAGGGTGTCTGAATCGTCGAAACATTCACTTTTTAATCGTTTATTTTCGCTCGTTTCGATTGCGAAGGGATTTTTTCGTTTTTCTGGCACAAAATTGTTCACGGTCGTTTTATTTTGTTTATTCGCTTTTATCCTAGCTTGTAAAGCGTTTTTTCGCTTTTTTAATTGATGTAATCTCATTACCTCTTCTGGTTTGGTCCATTTAAATCCGTTTGTATCCATTTTTTCTTCCATTTAGTTTTCAATTAATTTAAGGATATGTTATTTGCTTTATAGGTTATGTATACGGATTGATTAAATTTATAATAGATGGCGACACTTAATTTATTTTGCAATAAATTAAAAGTATGATAAGTATCAAGGTCCGTTGAATAAACATACTGTATAAGTGTGTATAAAGTTATCCAACTCCATATCTCCATATCCTCCATATGATGATATGAACGCTGTTGTTATGAACGTACCCCCCCTGCACAGGCCTTGTTGTGACGTCATTGGAAGAATTGACATACATATGTTTTTATTTATACAGTGTATTTCACTTAAGAAGCAATATACAAAAATATAAAAATATACAAAAAAAAAGATAAAATAAAATTAAAAAAATATTAAACTATAAAGCGAAATATTAAGGATTATAATTTTATTATTGTTAGGTTATCCAACTTGACTCTGTTACCATGGTGATCAAGATCCAAATAGTGCAGGTGCTTGTCAAAATTAAAATTGAATTTAAGTTTTTTTTTTAATGAAAAACACATAATTAATTCGATTTAAAGGTTGTATTTAATTCAAAATGGGTAAATGGATGAAATTATAAGCAAGGTAAGTGGATTGAATGAAAAGAAAATATTTTTAGATCAATTAAAATGTACAAGAATTTAGGGTTAAATAACAATTAAAACTAGAACTAACACTAGACCTAGAACTAGAAAGTTTTAGGTTTAGCCGGGCGTTTTAGACAAGAACTTAGAAAAGTCTGAAGACGCATGGCTAAACCCGAATATTTCTAGTTCTAGGTCTAGTGTTAGTTCTAGTTTTAATTGTTACTAAGCGTTAAATTATTGTCTATTTTTACTAAAATAAAACTAACAATAGACCTAGAACTATACTCCGTTTTTAAACCAGGAGGAGTATTTTAAATTTGTCACCAGATTGACCTTGCACGTGATTGGTTGAATGCGAGGAAGTTCACACACAGGCAATTTTGAATTTTGATTTTGAATTTGAAGGTTAGGTTATTGATAATTCGACAGTTTTGTGTCATTGTTGTAAATTTTGTTTAAACCCTTTTGCGTCCTCAATTTAATTGAGTGAAATTTGTTCTTTTTAGAACAAGGTATGGGTCGTGACCCTAATAGTCGTTCACAACAAATTTCACCTCCGAAAAAGCGTAAATTGTTGAATTCAGGACACTTAGCTTTGTTTGAAAAGCAAAGTATCCTAAATCTCTACAAGCAATACACTAATGACGAAAACCCAATGAAAATTAGTAATATTGTTGATAAAATTGTCGAGGACGTAAGAAAAACCGTTTTAAAAATTATATCAAGCCAAATAATGTTTTCTTTGTAGGGGTAGCAAAAACAACAGTATACAGTGTGGTGAAGGAATATAACGATACCGGAAAGGTTACGAGTCCAAAGAGCTAGGTGGGAGACCTGGAATTATAACAGAGCTTGATGATTTTACTAAAGTTTCCACACGCCAAATTTGTCACAGTTTCTTTTATAAAAACGAAATTCCAATTTTGAACAAAATTATAAAGGAGCTACACAGTCATCCAGAGTTACCAAAGCTATCTCGATCGTCACTGTATAAAGTGATGAAAAATATTAATTTCCGGTAAACCACTACCTTCAAACATCACATTTTGATAATTTATTACGAGCAGAATACGAGTTATATTATAATTTTTATTTTTTTTATAGATACATGAAGAGAAATCGCAAGAGTATTCTAACCGAACGTGACGATATAATTGTTTGGCGACGACAGTATTTAAAAAGTATTAAAAACTATCGCTGTGAAGGACGACCACTTTACTATCTAGATAAGACATTGATTAATGAAGGTCATACAACAAAGAAAGTGTGGGTAGATGGATCAATTGAGAGCAAGAGGCAGGCATTTATCGAAGGGTTAACTACGGGGCTTAAAATCCATCAGGAAAAGGAAGATAATTAAGTATACTGCATGTTGGTTCTGAATCAGGTTTTGTTAACGGAGGATTGTTAGTTTTCGAAGGTAAAAAAACTACTGATTCCCATGAAGAAAAGAATGGAAAAGTATTTGAAGAATGGTTTTAAAATCTATTAGAAAAATTACCTGAGAATGCAGTTATTGTAATGGACAACATTGAGGATGTACTTGATATTTTCTCTACTTTACGACTATGGTATGAAGGAACTCGCCTTAACCAAGGTCCGTTGAGTATTGGTTATAAGGTTATCCAACTCGAGCAAATTGACGTTGACGGGATGAGGTAGGAAACGTGACATCATTGGAGGAAAAGTATAATATAATACAGAGTGTCCTGTATCTTCCGCATCAGAGTATTATATGGTTGTAGGATACATTATTCTGAAGCGATCTTTCTAATAAATTTTTTTTCGAAATGTTTATAATAACTGCACGGGAACTAAATCTTTAAAATGAGTCCAAACATGACGCACGTTTGGACGCTAAAGTTTTTAATAAATTATTAAATTTTTTAATAAATTATTAAATTTTTTAATAAACAATTTTACATTTTTTTTCATAAATATTCTGATATAAGAGTACTAAAATTTTACCTCATCGTAAAGAGAAAACAAATCTCTATCAAATGAGCCTAACGAAAGGATACATTGCCATTTAAAAAACTTCAAGTGTTATTCGTTGCTCATTTTTTTTCTGAAATAAAAACAATTGAATGCCTTATTATGGCAAACAAAATATTAAATAACTTTTGTATAAATTGTTTTTTTATAAAATTGATATTTGCCAAGATATACAGTGTGTCCCCGCATTGTGTCCCCGTAAGGTATAATTGACGACAAATTTTTGAATTCAAATTCCATCTTTTATAATTAAAGTCTGGATGTTATAAAACGAAATATAACCAAGTTTTACGTCAAATGTCCTCAAAGTACCGAAGTTAACGCAAGAAGTTTGTTAGCCGTTGCAGGTAAAGTGGTCTTTCTGAGCAATGTACAGGGTGGTTCAAATTCGATGTCCGAATAGGCTAACTCGAAAACTATAAGAGTTAGAAGAAAAATAGCTGACATGTCATGATCTCGTTTTTCGAGAAACTGCTAATGCCGAAAACCTCATAGCGCTATCGTCTTTTGTTTTTCCGCTAGAGGCCAAAATTGAAAATATCGTAAAACCCGCAAATGTAATTATCTTGGTTATTATTATAGGTGGAGTATTATAACTAAGACATTATATGGACACTTTTTTACAGAGAATTTGATGACGTAGTCAAAAAAATTTTTTCGGTTTTAGATTTTGAGATATTATCACAATTTTCGTTTTTTTAAATGGAAACAACCACTGATTATTCGCTTAATAAATTCGTTATTTTTTTCTGATTACAAAAATATAGGGTTTGACAGGTCTATTTCTTATTGTTTTAGAATAAAACTAAAAATAAACTTTTCTTTTAGTGTCGTCGAAGAAATTAAATTTACAGTTTCCTGTAAATTACGGTTCTATAACTAAAAATTAAAAAAACATATTTCTGATATTTGAAACAAATATATTTGTTGAACTGTTTAATTTATATATGTTTTACACAAAAGTTGGAATAGATTGCATTATTTCACATTTTTTATTACGATTTAATATTATTTTTAAATGACTTAATAAATTATCGATAGATGGCGCTCATATGTTTTTTTTTTAATTCAAATAAACATAGCAACATTTGTTTGTATTCAAAAATTTTCTGAAGTGTCACTTTAAAAATCCTGTTTTTAAGATCAATTACGAAAATTTTGAAAAGTTTGACATGTTAGAATGTTACATATTAAAAAATTATTTGTTTTTAAATACCAGAAGTTATCTTCGTATTTAATTGTTAACTTTTTAGATTTTACCTACCGCCCCGTAACTTACAGGAAACTGTAAATTTAATTTCCTCGACGACACTAGATGGAAATTTTATAAAAAAAGTTTATTTTTAGCTTTATTCTAAAACAATAAGAAATAGACCTGTCGAACCCTATATTTTTGTAATCAGAAAAAAATAACGAATTTAATAAGCGAATAATCAGTGGTTGTTTCCATTTAAAAAAACGAAAATTCTCATGATATCTCGAAATCTAAAACCGAAAAATTTTTTTGATTACGTCATGAAATTCTCTGTAAAAAAGTGTCCATATAATGTCGTAGTTATAATACTCCACCTATAATAATAACCAAGATAAATGCACTTATTGGTTTTACGATATTTTCAATTGTGGCCTCTAGGGGAAAAACAAAAGACGATAGCGCTATGAGGTTTTCGGCATTAGCAGTTTCTCGAAAAACGAGATCATGACATGTAAGCTACTTTTTTTCTAACTCTTATAGTTTCCGAGTTAGCCTATTCGGACATCGAATTTGAACCAGCCTGTACAGGGTGGGCAAATTTGGGTGTTATTATAGGCTATCTCAGAAACTATAAGAGATACGAAAAAAATAGGTGCCATGTCTCGGTCTCTTTTTCCAAGACTAATCCTATCCCGCAAAGAACAAATCTCTATCTTCTTTTGTTTTTAAGTTATAGCCGAAAAGTCAAATTTTAGCGATTTCAAAAAATGCTCATATTTCGTTTATTTTTGAAATTAGAGAAATGGGGGATTAATACATTCTACAGGCACTTTTTTGAGTAGAATATACTGCCGTTGAAAAATTTTAAACATAGCTGATAATTTTTGAGATATAACATAATAGTATATTATTATATGAGCATATAATAGCTCATTATATGCGAGTAGAATACTATACTTTGTCCACGACTATTGAAATTGATTCCATAAATTTATTTTTTGAATAAAGGTTAAACGTCAATGTGACACAAATTCAATGTTACTAACTGTAACCAACTTCACAACAATTTGTTAAAATTAAATGTCAGTTTTATGAAACGTCGTTTTCTTTAGGAAAATTAATTAATTTATGCTTAAATCATACGAAAAAAGGAATTTGTTTAGGTTTTTTTAATGTCAAACATTTAGAAACTCCTAAAAAATTGAATTAAATTGTCGTTTTTTGAACTTTAACGTTTCAAATAATTATTATTAGTCTGGTCAAGATGGCTACCCGTGGATAATGATTATTATTCACCGCTATTATTCACTCCGTGAAAACTGACTACCATTTTGGTTTAGAAAACTCATTCATAAGGTATATATTATAAGGTAGTCGTGGACAAAGTTGTATTTTTTTAAATACAAACTATAGTTGATTATGATGTTATTGAAAAGAGCATATTTTTAGGTTTC